CTAATTTTTTAAAAGATTTATTTATTTATTTTTAGAGAGGGAAGGGAGGGAGAAAGAGAGAGAGAAACATCAATGTGCAGTTGCTGGGGGGCTGTGGCCTGCAACCCAGGCATGTGCCCTGACTGGGAATTGAACCTGCGACACTTTGGTTCGCAGCCCACGCTCAATCCACTGAGCTACACCAGCCAAGGCTAATACTAATTTTTTAAATGTATACGGTCTCCCCTAAATTTCTACGCATGTGTGCTTTCTATAACTATGAAGTTTGTCCAAAGGATTTGGCTTCCCACTTTGGGTTAATTATGCTTTTCTGAATCATCTTTAATTACCTGCCATCTGGCTACGAACCAGCAGCGCGCAGCAAAAGCACGCCGCAGCCGCTCCCACTTCAGTCGCCCTCAGGCACTCCCCAAACCTGCTGACGGAGGGACAGATCAGTCGGATTCCCGAAACCGGGGGATGTCATCCATTTCCTCTCCCAACACGTTTCCATGGGTAAAAATCTACACACTCTGTTTGGATCAAGGTTGCAAAAATAGGCCACTGATGAAGAAGATGAACGAACAGCCGGAAAAAAATCCAGGTTTCTAAACAAGTACCTGAACGAGGAGTTCAAACACCAGTATCACCAGGACTCAAAGAGGAAGCTGAGGAAATTTGCCAAAAGGGAAGTGCGAGGTGGTAAGGAGGGTGGCAGCCCACGTGAACACCTTCGCCAGAACAGCCCCCATGTATCCGGCGCAGGGCCCGCCACAAAGACCTAAAAGCAGCCCAAGGTCTGGCTAGGTCGCCCAGCAGCCTAGGAATCAGCACAGGCGAGATGACTCACCCCTCAGCAGCTTGGAGAAGAACGCTCCGCTCCGTCCAACTGAATCCCCCCAGCCAGCGATGGGCGGGCATTTCCACCCTGGGGCTGTGCCCTGCATCCCTGGGAAAGACCCCGAGGGCAGAGCTGATCTACCTCCTGCCGGACCCGCTTTCACCCTGAGCTCACCGTGTGAGGAGCTGTTCCATCTGGCATGTTAAAGGAACGTCGGAGAAGTTAAAAGAACACAAACACAATCTACAAACAGGAAACGTCTTGGGATACATCAGAATCAGAACATGTGATGAGAGGGAAGAGAGGGTTGCAGAAGACACCCCAAATTGCAAGGAAATTAAGTAGAGAACACTTCTCAAGGTGACAATAATGGAAAATAAAAACAAAAATGGACCAGAAGGAAAACTTCTAAACTCGGCCACACGCCCTCATGTACGCCAAGAGCTGACCTGTGGCCGTGGTATTTGAACCAGCTACACCTGTGTGAGGATTATCATCGCCATCTCTGGAATCCACGGGGCTCTGGCTGAGAACCACTACTCTGGTACCTAAGTTACGGCAGAGGAGTGGGTGAGTCTACCAACTACTAGGCTCGCAAGAATCACTACCTAAATAATAAAAATAGACCCTGGTTGTAAACTCATTGAAGAAAACAAAGCACAGCAAATTCATAAAATAGTAAAATACATTATTTAAAAATACATAGCCACTCTTTCACCCTCATTTGTTTTGTTTTGTTTTAAATCATAGTAAATTTACTCTAGGACAAAAACAGTCTTTTTTTTTTCATCTGTACATAAGATGAGATTCCTCACTTGAATTTTTTAAATACTCTCAACAAACAACAGAAGTCGGGGTCCTGCTGTCTTGGGGTGAGTGGCATCTGTCCCCCAAACAGGAGGGAGCTTCAAATTCCTCCCCTCTTTTCCAGCCCCTTCCTTCCTTTTCCAAGATGTGGTTTGGTCAGCTTTTCTCTTTGCCTGTGATGACGATTTTCCAAAGGGAATGGGGGATGCAAGAGGGAGTCCAGATCCAAACTAGGCTCAGCAGCTGCGGCGCCAGGTCCGGTCCTGGTCCGAGCGCTAGCGGCACGCCAGTCACCAGCAAGGACGCATTCAGAAAAGGAAGAACTTGGGCACCAGGCCCCTGGAGGGTCAGAGCTGGCCCAAGGACCTCTGCGGGGGAACCAATTTGGGGGCTATTAGGAACAGCCTCACTGTTATTTTTTTAAAACCAGTTTTATTTTAACCTCTTCCACAAAACCTGAAAATGCAAAATATCCCAGATCCAGAAGGGACCTGGAGCACCATCGAGTTCCAACCTTCATTTCATGAACAGAACCTGCAGTTCCTCTGGGACCAGGCCACGCTCCTTCAGGGTCCCCTCCGCCCACACCCTGCCAGTGGAAGCCCAGCGGACCCCCTGACTCAAACCAGGCGCCTGCCGGGTCTCCCCAGGAGGCCCGTTGGCTGTGTCCTCTCAGGGGACAGCGGGCAACCTTGCACGCTACTGAACGAGCAGAGTCAGAAGCGGCTTCTCCCCAGACAGCGCCCTGAGGTCACAGCCGGCCTCCAGCAGGAATCTGTGTGGAGTACGGTAAGAACAGTTATGATGCTGTGTGGTCTGTTCTCCAGACTTTTTTGTCACAACACTAGTCCCGGTAGCCTGTCTTCATAAGACTTCAAGATTTTCCTGTTTTGCAATTGTCTGCATCTCTCCATCTGGCCGAAGAAGACACTATTCTCATTTTAAAAAAAAGAGAGAGAGAGAGAGCGAGGGAGAGAGAGAGACAGCTACTGATGCACAGAAGATGCGTTCTGCACGGGGCACCTATGGACACGTGTCCCAGGTCAGCCTTTTCGAGAAGCTATCCAATTCCTCATGGCAGACACTAAGCTAATGGGATTGCACGCAATTAGTTAAAAACACGGACAATCTCACAGACTCCAGGGCATCTGCTTTCAAATGCTCCATTTCTCAGAGTCCACAGTCGACCAGCTTGGAAAAGGTGTGTCTCCTTTCTTACACGGAAAACCCACATAACGATGGTGGGTTTTCCCACTGGTAACAAACCGTGGCAGAGACCAGCACCACGTCTCACCACCCTACGTGGAAGAAAGCAAGCTGGCCCATAGGAACCTGCACCCACCCACCCCACACTGCCCCAGGGCATGGAGGGACTTCCCCGTGCACCCCACCAGGCCACTCCGGACGCCGTGGGTTCCCGTGAGAAAGCCCTGGCTCTGCCGCCGGTACCCTCTGCACAGGCACAGGGCACACCTGCAGGGAATCTCCCAGGGATTCAGCTCAAAACTCAGAGGCTTTGTGAAATGCTGCCGAGGGCTCTAAGTTAGGCAGCCTTAACTTCCTCCCTGGGAGAGCTTGTGGGAGAAATGCGGGGGAGGCTGACAAACCTCTGCGCTGCGAGGAGCGAACGGAGAGATGAAATGGGGTGCAGCTGGGTGGTGGGGCCAAAAAGGCTCTTTAAGCCTCACATAAAAATATTTGCATTTATAACTTCACACATGCTTCTATATGCATTATATATAATGTATACTATAGTGCATATATTACATACAACTACATACCATATATCATTTGCAGTATACATGTTATATAAGCATGTGTGTGTGTGTGTGTGTGTGTGTGTGTGTGTGTGTGTGTGGAATGACTTCCACAGGGAGATAAGGAAGCAGGAAAAGGAAAGATCCCCAGAGGCCAGGCACATGGTGCAAGGACACGTTCAAAGATGCAGGAGGGGCCGTATAAGCCAAGGTCAATGGTTTGTTTCCATCGGCTGAAATCTGGGAACAGCCCAGAGCTCCTCCCGGCCTCCGTGGGCAGCAGCCGTGGAGCTGGACTTCGGCAGGGAAGTCCTGGGGCTGGCAGGGGAGTGGGCGGAAGTCCTCAGCCACTCACAGAAGCATCTGTGCCTTGCAAATACGGGCCACAGAGGACGTGATGCATGTGTTGGAGGGGACAGCCACCCACTAAGTAGTCCGAGACACATTGGGACAGACGGTTGAAGGCCTTCGAGACACTGAAACCCCCATAGTAAAAATAACAGCAGTACGCACAGCCAAGTGCTTGCTACCATCTGTTATAACATGTTTCTTCGTATTAACTTGGTTCATCCAGGTAACAGCCCTGCAAGGTAGGTAGTATTATCCTCATCCCGTAGCCCAAATATTAAGTGGTGCCCAGCTAGGACGTGGCTGAATGAGGATTCCAGCCCAGGGTCCACATTCTCAACCGGAACCTGATCTGTGAATCTGATCAAGTGCGTTCTTCAGTGGGATAACTGAGCAGAACACTCCCTTCCCACCCAACGCTCTGCGGCCACAGCCCTTCCGGCCCTTGCTGCCCAGCTGCATGTGCATTCCGGAACGGCTCACCTGTCGGCTGACGTGTGTCAGCGTAAGTTCTGTCTTTCCCCAAAACAAGATTACGATCTCCTGAATGGCGAGAGGTAGAAAGGAATCTTGTAGACAGCCCACCACCCGGAACACACGGACAATGTTCATTCCAGGTTAAGTGGACAAGAAACAAGACTCTGAATTAGCGCACGGGAGTTTAAGTGTCAGTTTTGCGTCTTATTCACTGGGACTTTGGGCAAAGTATTGACCTTCCTTCCTTTCCTTCTTCTGTAACATGGACATTGCGAGAGAAGCAACGCATACAGTGGAGCTTAGCGCTGCTCCCAGCACACAGTAAGCCCCCAACAGATGCCAGCTCTCATTAATAACCAAGCTTTCTTCCAGCTGAAAACACTGTCATTGCCGGATCTCCTCCTCCTGATGGACAGCCCCTCCCTTGACAAGAGGCCCAGTTCACCTCGCTGCAGATGACCATCCTCAGCAAAGGTTGGCATCGGAATCTCTACCCAACTGAGCTCCATGAAAGGGGTGTTTGGAAATGGGACGCGTATTTAACACAATGCAGAGGGACACTGGCATTCGGTGGGCTGCATGGCCAGGATGTAAAACATCGCGCATGCTCAGGACTGCCCCACACAGTGGAGACCTTCCCTGCTCAAAATACTGATAGTGATTCCCCTGGAAAAAAAAATGCAGCTCTGCTTGGGAAATATTTTATACATGGGACAGCAGACAAAATCAACTCCGTAAACAACAGGTCAAGGAGGTGAGCCATTCAACACCAGTTAGGAAATCACCAGTACCTCCTTATGCTTTCGGGGGGTCCTGCAGGGAGGGGGATCTGGTTGGCTAAGGCCAGGGTGTCCTGCACAGCGTCACGGACCTCCTGCAGCTCGCTGGGGGACAGCCGGCCCATCAGGGGACTCAGGTCACAGCCCTGCCACCGGAGAAGCTGCTCCTGCAAGTCTATCTCCCTTCTCAGCTGTTGATCTTTCGCTTCCAGCATAGACATCCGGGCTTGGAGGGCTGCGATTTCTTTCTGCAGAGAAAGGAGAGACCAGATTTTGTAAATTAGCCCTGCGGGCGGCAGACGGCTCTGCTGACAGGTCGTTTGAAGGCGAGTCCTCCTCGTGCACAGAACCCGTGCCGTCCCCCTTCTGCGGCTGGCAGACTTGGGGAGGTTTGCTGAACTGGAAAAAGCACGCCAGCTTTCTATTTCTGATTAGTTGGCATAAACAAAAGCATTCCCTCCCGAGCACTAAGTAACTACAGGGGTGAGCCCACAGTTTGTCTTAGAAGAACCCAGCAAAAAAATACAAACGATTTACTTAAAGTGGAAGAGCGAGAACACAGGGCAGCAAATGCCACGCACCCCAGATACGAGCTACACAGGCCACGCAAGTCACAGATCACAAAAGAAACGCTACCAATCTTCGGCTGGGTTGTCCCCAAACGTGAAAAGTTAGCGTGCAAAAAAATAAGAGTGGAAATCCTGGCGTGTTGGGTCCACAGGATTGAGAGACTAATGAGATGCTACAGATCGTATGAGGCCGCCTCGAGTTCATAAAAACATTAAATATATTTAATTCCCGCTAACATCGCAAACCAAAATCCAAGGACTTCAGAGAGTGTTATCCGGTCTCGAGGTCAACGATTAAAAGGAGCAGCAGGTAGCTGCACACCCAGTGTGTGTACCAGTTACGGCAGATAAGATGGCATCTCGCTGCCCCCGGGCTCCCACATTTGAAACGAGACTCTTTTCATTAGCATCCTCCTGAGCCGGGTGCAGTGTGGTTTCTGGCTGATAAGAGCACAGCTCTGATCCTGGGGGTCCCCCCATCTCCTGCCCATGTTCTCTCAACCCCAAGGTTAGATCACTTACAACGTCTACCTCCTGACCCTACTTCCCACTGCGGGGTGGGGAGACAGAAGAACTACTGAGGATCTCCCACCAAGACGCGCTGAGAAGAAAGAAACACACCCTGGCCGGTGCCACACTCTGGCCGGTGCGGCTCAGTGGGCTGGAGTGTCATCCTGTAAACCGAAAGGCCGGGGCATATGCCTAGGTTACGGGTTTGGTCCCCTGGCCCCCGGTCGGGGCACGTGCGAGTGGCAACTGATCGATGTTTCTCCCTCACATCGATGCTTAGCTCCCTCTCTCTCTCTCCCTTCTCCCCTCTCTAAAAAAGCAATAAGCATGTCCTTGGGTGAGGATTAAAAAAAAAAGAAAAGAAAGTAGGAGTATTATTGATATGCCTCCCAACTAACTTCCTTCCCACTTCCCCCTTTGACTTCCCTTACCCTATTGTTTTCTTTCTTTTTGTTTTTTCAGTTTTTTAAACTGTGGTAAAATACATTGAACGTGAAATTTACCATCTTAGCCATTTGTAAGTGTCCAGGTCAATGGCATTCACATTGTTGCATAACCGTCACCACCGTCCATCTCCGGAACGCCTTGATCTTGCAAAATGGAAACCCCGCTCCCATCAAACACCACCTCTCCGTTCCCCCTCCCCAGCCCTACACACACCATTGTACTGCCTGCCTCTGTGAATCTGACTCTTCTAGGCACCTCATGGAAGTGGAACCACACGGTACTTGTCCGTTTCTGACTGGCTCGTTTCACTCAGCATAATGTCCCCAAGGTTCATCCATGTTGTAGCGTGTCAGAACGTCCTTCCTGTTTAAGGCTGCGTAACATTCCACTGTACGGATGGACCGCCTTTTCTCCGTCCATTTATCTGATGGTAGACGCTTGGGCTGCTCCACCTTTCGGCTATCGTGAATGATGCTGCTATGAACACACCTCTCTGAGTCCCTGCTTTGAATTCTGGGCACAGACCCAGAAGTGGATCTGCTGGGTCACGTGGTGGTTCTACTTTCAATTTGCTGAAGAACCACCAACCGCTTTCCACAGTGGCACTACACCCTGGGCTTAACACAGGAGTCCAGTGGTCCCCCACTCCAATCAGAGAAAAGCCCAAGTCCCTACAAAGGCCCGCAAGACCCCAGAAGGCCCCTGCATCTATGAACTTCTCTCTCTTCTCCCCACCTGGCCTCCGGGCCGCCCGTGGAACACGAGAGGCCCATGCCCGCCGCAGCTTCCACACGGCTGTTCCCTCTGCTGGGGACACTCTCACTGGGCCCTCTGCAAGGCCTGCCCTCTCGCCTCCTTCAAGCTTTTCCTCCACCCTCATTCCTCAACGGCAGACCCCACCCATCCCCTGCTCCCCATCACCTGGGGCTGTGCCCTGTGGCTCCTACCACCTACAAAATACTAAGTATGTAGTTAGGTAGTTATAATTACATAACTGCCGGCTGCCCCAACGAGGTGACGGTGCTCCCGGAATACGTAAGTGCTCAGTTCACTGGAGAATACTTTCCAATTGTGAGGACTTCTGCTTCCGTTGCCCCCTGCCATCGCAGGCATCCGGCTGGGCCAACTCAGACGACAAGAATACTCTGCGTGAGGGGCTGGGAATGCGGGCTGTCCAGCCACTTGCCCAAGCTCCCATGAACTTGCCTAGGTCCATAGCACTAACCAGAGCCGAAGCCTGGGTTTGGACCTGGGTTTGGACCTGGGTGCTCCCGTCCTCCGCTCCTTCCAGAAGTCAGCGTGCCTCCAGTCCGCGTTTCCTCGCTGCTCCCCAAGCCTGCCACCGGGCCTCCGGGCTCCAGCAGGTGCAGACTTGGCTTCACTGTGCCTGCCTCTCGGGGGGCCCTGTCAACTTCCAGGGCTCCCCACGGCCTCGGCTTGAGCTCAGTGCTGTCCTAGGTTTCTAGCCCCAGGGGACCCGTCCACTGCTCGGGGCCACCTGGAGCTCCCACACGATGCCTGCCCGTCATTCCCAGACCCGCCTGCCTCGCTCAGCCCCTGCTCACTACTCCGCCTCCTAACAACGGCTACTCACAGTCCGGCTCCACAGGAATTTCATAAGGGATTTCTTTCTGCCTGGAAAAGAACCTTCCAAAGGTCACAATGATAAGAGGTGACAAATTGCCCTGGCAGGCCGGGAAGCACTTTCAAAGGTAATGAGGGATGTCAAAACCCGTGCGAAGGCTGCCGGGCGCCAGCCCCTCATTTGTAATGAGACTCCCACACGCCCGCCCGGTGTCTCCACCAGGCCTGCCCTTTGCACGCGCCGGGGACAGCCAAGCGCTAATCACTACCCCAGCGAAGAGCCACCTCACCGCCTTTGGCTTAGAGGGATGAGAAAAACGCTTCCCACTTCTCGAATATTCCCCACCTGCTTACCTGCAGTTGCTGCTTTTCTTGAAGAAGCCAGTCCCGCCTGGTGATGGCCACACCCAGGGGGTCCTGAGCTGGGGGCTCCACTCCGAGTGGAGCTGGGGCGTCCTCGCCGCCCGCCCTGGAAATAAAACAGATGTGGGTACAGATACGGAGACGCTGAAACTCTCTGGTCTCCAAGAACGGGAAGAGAAAGGAATTTCACAGAGGGGTCCCCAGCTGTCCTGGTCTGTAGGAGGGTCACAGGGGTGAGGTCCCTCAGGTAAGTCTCTGTTTTAATGACCATCTGTTGGGACTTTGGCTTTTTCTCAGAGCCAGTCTGCTACTGCTGGCCCTGTACCACCCACTCCCGCGGCCCCTAGTCACGCGTGGCTACTGCATGCGCTGAAAGTTAAAACACACCAGGCTGTAAAAATCCAGTAAGAAAACAGAGTACAGAACGTCTCACTAATGATATTTCATGGTCGTTCCACATTGGAGTATTTTTTTATATTGAGCTGAATTAAATATATTTTAAACTACTTTTACAGGCTCCTTTTTTTTTTCAACATGGCTGCTAGATCACTTGAGATCACGGCTGTGGCCTGCATTACATGTGAGTGGACAGCCCCGCGCTGACCGTCCCGACAGAGCCCGATTCCAGGGCTGACCTTGGCCGTGGAGATGAAGATGAAGAAGAGGCATGACTGGTTTGCCGGTGCTGAGGTCAGGGCTTCTCAGAAATATTTCGCTAGAAAACTGTCAAAACTGCTTCAAGCCTGTTTGACTCTCTCTTATTCTGGCAGGAACTGGCCTGCTAGACGGAAGTCACGCCGGCGAAATGCGGTTCAGGCTGGAGCCCTCACCAGAGCCGGGGGGTTGCTCTGCAGAAGTTTCGTAGGTAACTATCATCCAAGGATGAGAAATTCATCCTTAAAGTATTTGATTTCTAACTCCACGCAGTGGGATGGAAAAAACTGTTCCCTAGGCAAAACTATGTCAACCAGTCAAGGAAACCATGTCAAAGAAAACACCGCAACTACAGTTAAAAGGCCAATGACAAGCTGTGATAGAAAAAAAGGAAATCTCACTAATTTCAAGAGTTCTAGCAGATCAAGGAGGCAAGAGCTCATCTATCAGAAGTTCAAAAGAAGGAACTGCCAAGGGTTCATTTGTAGCCCTTTTTATCAGTGAAGATGGTTTTCAGTGCAAATGCAGGCAACAGAAGGGATCATTTTTCACCCAATAAACTGGCAAAAGTTTACATTAAGCATCATTCCTTGGTGAACACAGGAAGTAAGAATTAGACTTAACATATAATACAACTTTGAATCTTACAGCCCCACTTCTAGAAATTCGTTGTATGTAAATAATCACAGATGCACACAAAGATTAGTTACAACAATGCCACGTTTTTTCTTAAGGGACAGAAACTGAAAACTCTGCAACTGTGGCCCAAAGTGAAGACGAGAACAGTAAACCACGGCACAGGCCCCTGAGGAGAGGGCACAGCCACCAAAACTGGGTCGAAGGAGCGGTACATACATGGAACATGTTCACTCTGCACTGCTATTGTTAAAGCAGGCATCATGGTCACATGTGTCTTATGAACCAACTGACATAGAAACAATGTGCACCCTGGTCAGTGTGGCCCAGCTGGTTGGAACATCGTCCCGTAACCGAATTGCGGGTTCAATTCCCAGTCACGGCACATGCCTGGGTTGTGGGTTCGATCCCTGTCCCGGGTGCATACGATCCCCAGTCTGATGTGTACAGGAGGCAAGCAATCGATGCTTCTCTCTCCCCCTCCTCTCTCTCTAAGAACGCAGTGAAGAAATGTCCTCAGGTGAGGATTAAATGGATAAATAATGTGTACAAAATAGATGATGGGAAAATATCCAGCAATTCTATCAGGTCTTATCTCTGGGTGATAGGATGACTTCTTTCAGCCAATCTTTTCTAAGTTTTCTGAGCACATCCTGTACTTTATAACTGTAGTAGAAATGTTTTCTACCATGTGCACTCAGTAACTGCTTGAATTTCCTTCAATATTTTGACACAGTCAACCTGCAGTAGCCCTTGGACAGAGCAGACCTGTACTGTGTTTGAAAGAAACCCCATCCATTCATTAACGGTCAAGGGCGTCTCTCTGCAGAGAAGCAGCCACCTACAGCTTCTGACGGCCCAAGGCGTGAGGTAACCGCCCCCCTCCCCCAGAAGCTCCTGCCACAAGGCCAGACCGTGGCTGCCACACGCGTGTGCACCTCAGGGCTCACCGAGCAGAAGCGTGACGCTGCACGTTCTCATTTGTACCTCCGCTGGGCCTCACCACCTCCGCGTGTCTTCAAAAAGAAAACGAGTCACTGGCCCTCATACGTGCTGTGCTTTGTGTCCCTTCACTTCTAACCCACTGCATGCATTCATTCAGAAAAGGGACAAACATTATTAACTTCACCTCCTATGCACCATGGGCTGTGCTTGAGTGCCAGGGACACAGCCATAAACAGATGTGCGTCCCACACAGAGCAGGGGACACGCACGCTCCACCGAGGCTCCGACCACCAGTGCAGGAGCTGAACGGTGGAAGCGACTCTCCCACTTCCTGAGTCTTCGCGTGGCACTTGAAACACATGAGCCCACCTAGCACTGCAGTGCAGCGGCCCTGACGGTTTTAGAGACCTTGGCAGAAAGTCCCTCGCTCAGCTTTTCTCAGCTAGAGCAGCAGCTATTGAAAAAAGAGCCTGGCTCGTATTCCTGGGTTTCTCTGAATCATCTTTAAAAATGCTTACTCATTGTAACACACCACACGACTTAGACATTTATTTTAAGGCCTGTTACTCTGAGTTCCATGTGCTTAAAGGCAAATAACAGCAGAAATAGTGAAAATGTCAAATGGGTAAGAGTAAAAGAAACTCATACGAACTGAGAATTTACTGTACCGCGGACCCGATCGTTTTTACCACACTCTCCTCTCACCGTGGGCATTATCGCTACAGCTTTATCAATGAGGAGACCGTGTCACGGAGGCTCAGTGACCAGCCCCCGGCCACACAGAGAGCAGTGAGAGAGGGGAGGGGTCGGCAGTGCCTGCAGCTGCTCCCACCAGCCAGTCACGGCTCTCGGCAAGATTATAACCTTCTGCTTCCTCCTGGCTTCCGGTCCTGTGCACCCACACCCTTGACCGAGTCCCTTGCTCTCTGTCCAACAGGGGCAGCCGAGAGCGACAGGCAGGACTCAGCACCCGCTGGGAGACAGACAGACAACCACCGCTCCAGACGCAATTTCTCCTTTTTCTGGCCGTGCATCCTTGGACTTACCAAAGCCGTCTGAACTGCACCCTCTTCACTTTTGAGGAGGAAGAGGGTGATGATAATAGCTTCCCTGTACAGCGGATCATGGGGGTCAAATCCACTGGGCACCTACTGTGTGCAGCCCCTTCTGTCCGCAGAAAGCTTGCTATTGGCTATCTTGTGTCTCCGTGTTTGTGCCAGGAAATGCACTGGGTTCCTGTGCAGTGGGCACGCTGTCCTACGCCGGGTGACGAAGGTTAAAGACGGGATGCTTCTGTTCAGAGTTTCCTCACAAAATTTAAAATGGAACCGCCTGTGGCCCAGCAACTCCACTTCTGGGTATATGTCTGACAAAATCCAAAATACATGTACCCGTGTTCACTTTAGTATCACCTACGACAGCCACGCTATGGGAGCAACCCAAGCGCCATCAGCAGAGGAGCGGATAAAAGAAGCTGGGAACATACACACAATGATCGTCCTTGGTCAAAAAAAAGAATGATACCTTACTGTTTGCGACAGCACGGTGGACCTTATCATGCTAAGTGAAATAAGTCAGAGAAACACAAATACCATATCATTTCACTTATATGTGGAATCTAAAAAATAATAGCAATAGTAAATGAACACACTAAACAGAAACAAACTCACAGATAGAGAACAGACTGATGGTTGTGGGGGGTGGGGTCAGGAGGCTGCGTGGAAAAGGTAAAGGGAGTAGGAAGTACAAATTGGCAGCTACAATTTAGTCACAGGGATGTAAAGTACAGCATAGGGAATGCGGGTAATAATACTGTAATAACCAGGTACAGTGCCAGGTGGGTCCTGGAAATACCAGGGGACACTTGTGTAAATATATGATTGTCTAACCACTGTGCTGTACACCTGAGACTAATACAAAATAATGCTCAATGTAAAAAAATAAATATACTTTTGATTAAAAAAAAAGATGGATATGCCCTGGCAGGTATGGCTCAGCAGTTGAGTGCCAGCCTAGGAATCAAAGGGTCGCTGGTTCAATTCCCAGTCAGGGCACATGCCTGGGTTGCAGGCCAGGTCCCCAGTAGGGGGCACACGAGAGGCAACAACATATTGATGTTTCTCTCCCTTTCTCCCTCCCTTCCACTCTCTAAAAATAAATAAATAAAATATTTTAAAAATAAATAAATTTTTTAAAAACAGGGACTATTTCTGCAGATCTTTAGATGTCATAGAGAGGGTGTCTCTGGAACGGAAACACCGTCATCTGCCGGATGTCCCCGGGAACTGGACGCGCCTCCTCCTCCTCCTCCGAGCCCCAGAGCTCCCACGGCCACCTGCCCTGGACTGGGGGCCTCGGAGCCAAGAGACTGCGCCATCTCACGCTGGTGTCCCCACTACGCAGCACGGAGCAGGGGGCCCTGCACATATTTGTTGAATGATTTAATGAGTCCATGGCCTGGAAAATCCAGAACTTGTTTACATGCAGCTTTCTATTGCATTAGATCACTTCTTTGCACAAATGTATTTCCCAATTTGCTCTGTTTATGCAAATATTGTTTCCCGGATTTCCTAAATAGATACCATCTGGGTCGGGATGGGAGCTATTGAAGGAAATCAACATCTAATTGAAATTAGCTCAGAGCAGCTACAGGTGGGTCACTGGGAATTCTCCCCATTATGGTTAATCACATTCATTACTTAATCCGTCAGGAAAGCCCTGGTGATTAACCAAAACCCCTCTCCCTGCCGCTCGGGCTTTGACTCGGGGGACGGAGAGCCGTCCACAGAGGGCGGCGCAGTGGCCCCGGGACTCGCGGCAGCTCGGTGACGACGCAAGGGACGGGCTTCCAGGGTTCAGACCTCAGTCCTC